ATCTCAACTAATCACATGACATGGACATTTTTTTCCAGTTCTTTATTGGCTGGTTTGCCCATCCCATCTTCAGAGGGGATTATTCAGAAATAATGAAAAAAGTCGTTCGTGAAAGAAGCCTCGCTGCAGGTCTCCCTGAATCACGGTAAATGAAAAATAGTTGATACCATCACAAGCAGAGAAAGCAGTTTTATTTATCCGCAATATTATTACGGGGTGTACAAAGACAGTTGCTAGAAGCCTTAATCAATATGCACACTTTCATCTGGCTACACTTACACCACTACCTTTGTTTATGATCTGCTTTAGTAAATGGAAGTCATTTGAATATTATTGATGTTTGATGATGTTTGATTTTTTAAAGATTAATGTTATTTTTTGTCCTAGGGATGAATAGTAATGTTTGTGAGAAATCCTGGAAAGCGTGGCATGACAAAACTGTTTTCTTTTTTTTTTTAAATATAGGCTCCCGGAGTTCACCCCTGAGGAAGTCCAAAGGATCAATGGGACTCATGATTTCTTCGGCTTAAACTTTTACACCACTGTTGTTGCATTCCCTGTTGACTTTGCAGTAAATGACCTGAGTTATGATGCTGACAGGTAAATTCAAATTACATAGTGTCTCTCCACTAACTTTTGATAGCTGTGTTTTTTTTGTGCCTTATAGTACCTGAGCAGAAGGTGAGTAACACAGAAAGAAATAAACCCACAAAAAAGTACAGTTTTTTTCTGCCTGCTTTAAAAAGAATATATTCAAACAGATGTATCTGGAAGTGTTTACTTTTACAGTGAACGGCAAAAATGTCAAGCCAGAGTTACACGCTAAAGTGATCCTAAGCTGTGATCTCCCATCCAACATTCAGGGGTATTGCATTCATGTACGACCGCACCTGGCTTGAATCTGGCTCCACCTGGCTTCAGATCACTCCATTTGGATTTAGGAAAATTCTCAACTTCATCAAGGAGGAGTATGGAAATCCCCCCGTCTATGTCACAGAGAATGGGATCTCAGAGAAAGGAGCAGTGGACTTGAATGACGACCACAGAATCTACTTCTACGAGAACTACATTAATGCAGGCCTGAAAGGTACGATAGTCAACATGAAAGAAGGAGTAGAGATATTGGATTTTTATTGCTTAGATTCTTTGCATCTTTCGTATTTAAAATTAAAAGTTTGTAAGACAGAAAGACCAACACCAAATAACAAACCAAATTCACTGAGCCGAGGTTTTATGTTTTTGATTTATACTGTGTACATGCATGTTAAATGTATTCCTGTTGTTGTCTCAGCCCGTCTTCTGGATGGAGTTGATCTAAGAGGCTACACAGCCTGGTCATTGATGGACAACTTTGAGTGGGCTTCTGGCTTTTCTGAGCGATTTGGACTTTTCTATGTGAACCGCTCAGACCCTAATCTGCCTCGCATCCCTAAAAAGTCAGCATCTCGCTATACCTCCATCATCAAGTGCAATGGATTCCCAGATCCAGCCCTCGGACCCCATGAGTGCTTGACCCCTGACGATGGAGGTAACATAATAAATAACAGCACACATTTAAAACTGATGCAGTAACTGTCAGATTAAGGAAGTGAAACTTCCTCTAGGTTTGAATCCTGGGCAGTGTGCGTGTCTTGTCAATGTAGCCTGGATATAGTCTATGTGTACATATTAGTTTAACAGGAATCAGTGATGANAGATGCCAATGCTCTCCGTGACGTGGAGTCTGCTGACCGCACACTGCAGTTCCAACTGGGCTGGTTTGCACACCCCATTTTCAAGAATGGCGACTATCCTGATGTAATGAAGTGGCAAGTTGGAAACAAAAGTGAACTCCAAGATCTTTCAGAATCAAGACTACCTTCCTTCACTGAAGAGGAAAAGAACTACATCAAGGGAACTGCTGACATGTTCTGTTTAAATCACTACACAACAAAGGTAGTAACTTTTGCTGTAGGTCAGCTTTCCCCTCTGTCATATGATCAAGACAGGGATGTGCTAGAAACAGAAGAACCCAATTCACCAACTACAGCCTTCGGAGGACAGAGAGCTGTGGCATGGGGCTTGAGAAGACTCCTCAACTGGATCAAGGAGGAGTATGGAAATCCACAGACTTATGTTACTGAGAATGGTGTACCTACACCCTATTCTGTCACAATTGAAGACACAGACAGAATATTCTACTACAAAACCTACATTGATGAGGCTTTAAAGGGTGAGTTACAAGGTGTCCAATAAGTAATAATCTAGCATGACGAAGTTAAACTCTGGTTGACGTGAAGTTATTCTCTTAAATCACATACACATCAGAAATGCAGTACCCCATACTTTTCGAGGTTTCACATTGTGTAAATTTACATAACATAACCAGAGGTGGGAAGTAATGAAGTTCAAATACTTTGTTACTGTACTTAAGTAGATTTTGCAGGTATCTGTACTTTACTTTAGTATTATTTTTTCTGACAACTTTTTACTTTTACTCCCTACATTTGAACACAAATATCTGGACTTTCTACTCCTTACATTCTCAAAATTGGCTCGTTACTTGTTTCAACCTCTGCGGATAACAACATGACATAAAAGACGTAACAACAAACAGCTTTGTCTTTACCAGCAGTGTGCAGTTTGTCACTGAAGCTCAACACACCCCTGCCTGCCTCAGCTGCCTGCCAGAGGCTTTTTAGCATTACAGGACTGATTTTCAGACCCAGAGGGGCACATTTTAATCCAAAGAACTTTGAGAACCAGCTTCTGCTGAGGATCAATAAAAGATTTTGGTAGTCTTGAAGAGATGAGTATTTCCATGTTGATTATAATGTTTCATGTTTATAATGTTGCTGAAATGGAAAACTGTCCAGTGGCGTTTTTCTCTGTACCAGCATTGTGCAGGTTCTTCAAGGATGAAAACGATCCTATTTTTTGTGCTTAAAACTTTTTTCGTTTTGCAGAGTTATCAAAAGAGGCATCGCGTATCATCGAAGCTAAAAATTCATCTTTACTTTTTACTTTTGTACTTAAGTAAATTTCTGAACCTGTAGCTTTTTCCTTTTACTTGAGTAAAGGAGTTGAGTCAGTACTTCTACTTTAACCAGTCTATTTTTACACAAGTATCTCTACATCTATTTAAGTAAAGAATGTGAGTTATTTTGCCATCTTTGAATAGACCATTCTAGTACAGGCTACATATCTGCAGATGTCCATTTTCATTGCTAATTAGGTTTTCTCTGTCCTATAATTCACAGCTCAAAGTCTTGATGGTGTAAACGTGAAAGGATACATGGCGACATCTCTCATGGATTCTTTTGAGTGGAAAAACGGATACAACTTTGGATTTGGATTGCATCATGTTGACTTCAATGACCCAAACCGGCCAAGGACACCAAAGCGCTCAGCTCACTATTATTCTCAGGTCGTAATGGATAACGGTTTCATAGCAACAGATGATGACAAGATAGTTTATGGAGAGTTTCCGAAAGGTTTTTGGTGGAGCACTTCCAGCTCCGCTTACCAGGTAGGCAATACCATCCCACATCTGTTTTAATGGTGGTAGAGAGCACTTCACACTATCATGGCACAGTGGAGTTGAGTAGAGCTGGAGTGGGATGCACAGGGTGTTTGCCATGGCAGGTTTTTTAAT